TCGGGATAATGACAATTATCAGGGACGGGCACCTGTTACTGTGTCAAAGATTTAAGATCGTTGTAAATTCTCTAGCTAGAAACTTAGTAGAATGATTTTATTAAAGCAATATCATTTAGAAAGCTATAAATCTCCTATATATTTTTTTTTCTACAAGAGGCATGTGTTCATTCTTGTAATTAAAAATTAATTTAAAATAATGTCTTTGAAAAACTAAATATCCTGCAGTTTTGACAATGACATGATTAAGAAACGAAATTGATCAGTAATACTTGCGATCTTCCAGAAATGGTTTAAATAATATTAATTCTGTCTCATTAATCAGAACTATTTATTTCAATGAAAAAATACACGTATAAGCACTATAGAATGTTATGCATTTATTTAAATTTTGAATCGGTTATCGGATCATAATTTTTTATCACTTGAAGAATTTATTTTCTTAATTTAACTAGAAATATTCAATTAAAAATAATTTTGAATAAGTCTCACATATTTTATTTTGGGGATAGACAAATTAATTACACATCTCCTATAAGGATGATGACAAGTTGAATTATCAGAGACGGGCACATGTTCCTGTGTCAAAGATTTAAGATCATTGTAAATTCTCTATCTAAAACTTAGTAGAATGATTTTATCAAAGCAATATCATTAGAAAGCTAAAATCTCATATATATATATATATATATATATATATATATATATATATATATATATATATATATATATATATATATATATATATATATATATATATATATATATATATATATATATATATATATTTTACAAGAGGTATAAACGATTTATTTATTCTTGTAATTATCAATAATAATTACCTAGACATATTTTAAGGTACCCGAATTTGATCAAGATAAGTAAAAAAAACCCACAAGTATTAAGATTGAATAATAAATCTTTATTTAAAATATGGCTTCCTTGTTAAGGAAAAATATCTGATTATAAAATAATACGCTAGTGAAAAAATTACTAAATTGCGATTTAAATATCACTGAAAGGTGGCGGAAAGGTCACTGAAAGACGACAGAAAGGTCACTGAAAGTCGACGGATTGGTCACTGAAAGACGACAAAAAGGTCACTGAAAGTCGACGGAAAGGTCACTGAAAGACGACGGAAAGGTCACTGAAAGTTGATGGAAAGGTCACTGAAAGTTGATGGAAAGGCCACTGAAAGTTGACTGAAATGTGTCCGCTGAATGGTGACTGAAAGGTATCTGAAAGGTGACTGAAAGGTCACTGAAATGTATGTGCCATTCAGTGGCTGAATGGCCACTGAAAAGTTACTGAAAGCCGTCTTTCAGTTTTAACTGAAAGGTCTTGTTTCTTCCTGTGTATGCTGTGATGCAAGTTTCGTTGAAGTTACCTTTGACTCTCATAATTTATAGAAAAATAGCATGAAATCTGATATACTTTTTTATATGCATTTGGGATGAATAAAAAAATTAAATTTCGAACTTATGTGATATTTTAAAAATATTGGCTTCATATGTATTTTGTCTATCAAGAAACCTGTGTGTAAGCGCACATGATCCTCAAGGTGAGGAACTTGGTCATTAAGATATAAAAAAAATATGACAATACAAGCTGGTAGTGTGAGAATATTCATCGTACCTTTTTCAATATTCTTAGAATATCAAATAGTGTTAACATGCGTTCCTTTTTTTTTCTCTCAGTGTATATTTTTTTTTACCGTTAGATCTCCAAATAAACAGGGTCGCTAAGGGATTGGATATAAATTTTCATCCGAGATCTAACTATATCATTTGGAAACCATTCGATTCTTTATAATATTTTATGTCAATCTTCTACAATGCTTATTGACCTCAAACTCAAAAGCAAAAGATCTGCTTTAGACCAAAGAGTGTTTTATTGCCTTATTCGCCACTTCCAGTGAAAACAGTGAATGGACAGAGATAAAAATCAGGATAACAATCAAGATTTCATGCTTTTATATATTATCAATTTAAACAAAAATTGTACAAAATTAACAAATTATTTTTTTTAAACGATGGCCAAAATTGAATTGAATATTAAGGAAAATCTTTATGTTTTTTGTGAATTATGGGTGTGTAAATTACACCGACTTGTCACGTAGGCATATTTCATTAACAGCGCTAGTGTTTCATGAAAATAGCTAACCATTGTTAGCAAAGTTTAGGTATACACACTAATAATTAAAATACAAAATTCCTCTAACAAAACGTTTTACATATTTAGAAGCATAAAAACAAACTAGATTTTTTTTTGCTCTATATGGAAATATGATCATGATCATCCCTCTCACCTTATTAAAATGTCATTTTGGCTTAGGATTATTTGTGAATATTATCATTATAATTCTAGGCATCAGCCCGCGTATGGCAGGTTAATGACGTAAAGTCAGGAGTTGATCCTAACGTCTTGAGTTCGTATCACACAGTGGGACATTGAGACAAGTCCTTCGGATGAGACATTATAAACCTATTAGTAAGTACCTCTCGGTAGATACCTAGGAATAATATTTGATGAGTATTACTATATTACACAATAAATGAAAGAAATACAAAATTCTACTGTATTGTTAACAGAGGGGGCATCTCAAAATGCCAAAAATTAACACATTTTCCTGTTTTTATAGATTGCTACGAAATATTATGAACACAAATGCCTAGGTCACATTTAAGACGATGGTCGGGGGACTAAATTTTTCTGGTCCTGTCGGCTGAAAGAACAGAATCGGCCAACACAGTATTGGGCGACACGGAGCAGTCACATTATTTCCTAGGGACACAGATGACCTGGGTAAATAACACAAACGATCTTTTTTCTTTAGAAAATCAGCAATATTTTTCATAGATCTATATTTAGATAGGTGACGCAAGTAATGTTTGCGAGGCAAAATGGCAAAATGCTATAAATTTGTTACTCAATGTTAAAAATATGTGAACAATTTTGTATGGAATTGCATAAAAGCAGCAAAGAATATTTAAGATTTCTTTGAATCTTATGGAATAATTATTTAAGTTGTTTCCGTTCAAAAAATATATATCAATCCGTGCATTAAAATTGTGTTTGTGTTTTGTTTCAAAATAGGTTGAATTTTCACAAGTCGGCCAATCGTCACCCAATCATTGAGCTACTGAATGATTTTAAACGTCAGCCGAAATAATGAACGCCGTTATTGTCGAACGACGGCAACCGTCTTTTAAACTAACTCCCGACGATCTGACAATGATCGAAAGCTGGTCGACGGATAACTTCAATTGAAGAAATCGCAGAAAAAATATAACTTTGACTGATGGACACAAAAATGGTCGGCCGACAAAAAAAGAGGTCAAAATCGGGCAAGACAACAGCCGATGAACTGGCGAATGTCACCCGAAGAAGCCCATTTTTGCTCCAAAACCCGTCGGCCGTTGGTCGTTTTTGGAAATGTGACCTGGGTTTTAGAATATATATGAAAACACAATAAAAAATAAGAGAGATATTTTTAAATTTTATGTTTCGAATTTCTAGAGCATCTGTTTATTACTTTTTCTTTAATAACATTTTTATAACCCCTTTCTTCGAAAGCTTCACTTTATCATGACGTCAAAATACACTGTAACGACGTCAACCTATCTATCAATTTCAAAATCGGTCAAAAATCAGTTATTGTACTTACAATTGTACTTACATTTTTATTCTTATAATTACTTTTTAATTTTGTTAATTTTTGATAATTAGCGAAAAACGTTTAAAACAGTAAATACGCTTTATTTTACTATGATGCGCGAAATAGTGCGCAATTGAAAGCACAGTCTGTCCCTTTAAGTTTCGAGTGAATATGTGTACATGTAATGAAAATAAGATTGTACAATTGAAATGTTGTTTAATGTTCCTTGGTATCTAAACATTGATTTTATAATATAGTGACACCTCCTTGGTATCAGAACATGCATGAAATTGCAAGAAAATATTTCTTCGTGTAAAAATATTTTCTTTCCCAATCGCCTTTTTGAATCTATAAGAGGTTATATTTGCGTATAAATTCCAATTTATTGGAAGGCAAATGGTAATTATAATCGATTCTCTGAAGAAACTTAGAGTCTAAATGTAGCTATACATTTGCGGGAAAATGTATATTTTAAAATAAATTGAACACTTGAAAATGTAGCTAAAATTTCTCTCATTTGTGTGCAACACTGAAAGGTAAAATCTTCTGGTGATCATTTTAAAGAAAAAAATTATTCCGCATTTAAGAGTGTTTCAAATTAAGGATTGGCATCATGTTTGTTACATCGTCATGTGACAAAAATTCTATGTCAAAGAAATGAACATGCCCAGAATTAACGCCCTTTTTGTCAGATATTTTAAAACGGTAATAAACAGTTGAGTTTAAAAATATAATGTTTATCTTTCGATGCTATCCTTCAAACTTTTTTACAATAATTGTTCTTACACTTTTCTTCTTTTGAGTAAAAGAAAAATCATTTAAACCTTAAATACACTATTAAAAGCTATATGTGACCGCGACTGGGAAAAAGGGTCCAGATGCGGCACACGTCATAATGAGAAATCGGCGATAGTTCTGAACGTTTGCGTCACAATCGAAAAAAAAAACGCGAGAAAAAAATATGCAGTACACGTGCTTCTGAAAGAGTTTATCCCTGTCTCGTATTTTTAAAGTGTTAGTTATGAAATTGAAATAGATGTCTGTTATAATGAATTTGTTGTAATGTTTTGCAATATATTTTATTACGGTATTTTTTGTTTTAATTTGAATTTACCGCGGATTTTAAAGAGCAATAACTCTGTCCATAACAGCAGAGGTGTTTACATTTCCGGTTGAGAACAAGATCGAAAGTGAAAGTCACATGTAAACTTAAGATGTAGTAATTGTAGGGTAGAACTAAACATGAACCAAACGTCCACAGCAACATCGATAAGTATACCAACAGAAATTGTTCTCTAAACTTGTTGCTCCAAATCTACGTGCGCGATAGACAGTTTTGTGATCTTTGTCAAGTGACAGCGATACAGATACGAGTGATTTGGGTGATTTAAACTATGATTCTGACTCTGAAAGTGACAATGACAACGATGATGGAGATGTATATACCGAATGAAGTTAATGACACGAAGGAATACATAATCCGTTCCAAATTTCAGAATGACACTTGCGGGTGTAAGGAGTTTTATGGAATGCCATGTAGCACGAAAATTGACTTTGATGCAGCATGTGACTTTCGTGATCATTGTCTGCAGTGAGCTCTGGAAGAACTTGACACTATAATCAAAGTTGAAATGTTTGCACACAGGCGATCTGGGTCTGTCACACAGTCAAAGAAACACAGTGAAAAAAAGAAAAATACCATTTCAGGAGTACTATTTCAATAGATGTAGAGTATGTCATACAACGTTTTGTTTTGTACATGCTGTTGAAAGACCTGTGTCAGCTTTTTCAGCATTTCTCTCGTAAACTTTCTACAGTTTCGAATATGAAAGATGAGGAAAAGGAAGAAATCCTTTCTACACACAGCATATGTTTTCCAAGCTAAACTGCAACGGGACTACTACAGACACCAGTGTACCACCAGCAAGGAAGCGTTTGTTTCCTTACCAGAGAAATGTAAACAAACAAGTAAGTTATAATTTTATTGCACAATTAATTTTTTTTCATTTAGTGTATAGTTACAAGCAAGGTATACTTTCCATTATTAGCATTAAATGAAAATTCAAGTACTATCATATGTGCTTGGATTCAGCCTGGGTAGCTCAATGGGTAGAACACCTGACCAGGGGTCAAGGGTTTAATTCCAGCCATGCATTTTCTCCTCTTTTTTCTATTAATACGAAAACAGATAATTATACCAAAGTGTTAGCAAAAAGTACATTTATTCTGTGAAATTAAATTTCTTTGTTCATGAAATAGTAAATATTACCATGAATAACTATCAGTGCATATAAATGATCATGAATGATTTATTTTATTCAAGGAAATGCTCCATGCTCAGTTGATATGGAAATGCACTATTCCTGGGACTATGCACAACAAGTGCATTTTCCTCATCATGCCCAACAAGTGGGACCAATATTTTTCAAGACGCCCCAGAAATGCAATGTGTTTGGTGTATGTTGTGAGAGTTCAGGTATGTTAATTTATAATTTGTGATTGCTTAGTTGTTTAATTCATTCAGAAATAACTGTACAGTGTACATGTAATTCTTATGAGAATTTTATGAATTACCTTTTATGTGGAAATCTAATATTTCATGAAACAGTAAAATCTAAAATACATGTAAAGTAGGGTACTATTTCAAATATAGAATAATATGAGGCTGATTTTGAATAAAACAATAGTAGTTATTATGAATTCTATTAAATATAGTTGTAACAAAATATTAACACAATTCTATCTTTGTCACAATGCATGTATGAGGTAAATAAACAAGTCAATGATTGAGATATTTAGTTCTGATCAAAATTTTTGCTTTTACTTAAATGGCTGGAAAACAAGTGTTCTACTTGATTGACGAGGCTGAGAACACAGGGAAAGGTGCTCATTCTGTCATAAGTATGGTTCACCACTTTTGTCTATACCATGGATATGGAGAAAAAACAGCATCCCTTCATTTTAATTGCACAACAGCAGTGGGCAAACAAAAACAACTTCGTCTTAAGGTATGCTCTCTGGAGAGTTCTTGTAGGTAAGTGCACATCATAATGAAAAATGATTAAAAATTGTAAAAACATTTTTTGTTATTCAGTATGTTCAATGCATAAAGTGTTACATGCATGTACTATAATGTCTGTTTTGATTGTCATGAAATTCAAACTCCTAAATGTAGCATTCGTATACATGTATATATAAAATTAAACTGTATTGAAATTAAGGAGTGTATTTCCTTTCAATTAGGACTCCATATTATTGTGGAATATTCTATGATGGTAGAAGGACACATTAAATTTGATCCTGACTGGCATTTTGGAATCTGGAAAGTAAAATGCAGAAACCATGAATGATATAGCAGACACAGTCCGTCATTCATCCCGCAGAGGCCATGAAATTCCTCAGCTCAAGTCAAATCCACAAACAGCTGTGCAGTTTAGGGACTGGAAGTCGTAACTTGAACAGTTCTTCAAGCCCTTGAAAAACATTTGAGGCTATTATCATTTCCGAGTAAGTGCTGAGACTCCTGGCATTGTTGAATGTAGGGAACTCTGTAATTCTGTTCCTTTGTGTGTTAGTCTCCTGGAAGATAAGAATATCCTTCCCTCCCTAAATGATCCTCTGCCTCAAGAAATCCCAGCACCTGGTCTTGAGCCCAAGAGGCAATGGTACCTATATGAGGAAATCCGTGAACATTGTCTATTACTCTCCGCTAAAGACACATCATGTCCAAAACTAGTCGTATCAAAGAAAGAGGTGAAAGTTTATTCTCCTGATCATTCCACGTCACACTTGGGGAAAAGGAAGATTCTTCTAATTAAAGATGAAGGGGAAGATTATTGTTTGTGAGAAAGATTAGAAGTAAAATGTATACATGTAGTTCCTATTGTATAACTCCCAGTAATGTGTTCCATTGATGTACCGTTCTGTTAGTCCAATTTCATTGCTTTAAAAACATTTGTTGGAATTAGTACTTTTACCCAACAATTTACATAAGCTGTGTCCTATGAGTAGTGTTACATCTCAACAGTTTAAAAATGTGTAACGGTATGAAAATTGTTAACTGATGTTTGCACCTTCTCTGTGACATTTTCCTTAAAATGCATTTTGGATGTATTTAGTATAACAATAAATATTGCAAAGCTTTGTCAAAAAAGATTTTTTTTTTAAATTTTCTACCCCCCCCCCCCCCCCAAATTTAATATTTTTATGATCTTTATGACTGTATACTGTTGATTATGTTAAAAAAGTACAGATGCATACATCTGTAATATCATCAGTACATTTTAATGTACATGTTTGCAATATTCAGAGTGTCTGTTTTAAAAATAGTGATCTGCTATTCATTTTTTGTGATTTTGTTTACAGCTGTCAAAGAACCTCTGTCATTCTGTATTTTATGTGATATCTGGTGTATTTTGTCATAACTATAAATAATAACTTTTTTGTTATTTGGGAATGTTATTTCAATTTGCATATTTATCTCAATAATTATTAATTGATGTGCATTTCTCATGTTACTAGAATTTATTTTTTTGAAAATAAATGGTTGGATTATTTTGTTCATTATGCATGTTTTCTTCCCTTTCTCTCTTTGGTCGTCGATGCTAGTAGGATAATAAGTCAGTCTTCTGAATCAAATTCAATTGTTTCAACAGTCACATGTAATAAGTAAGATTAACAGTATATTTAATGATTCAATTTATTTTCATTTTACCTAAGTAAAATTTTAAGAAGAGTTTAAATAAAAAGAAGAGATTGTTCTTAATACACCATAGACTGAAAATGTTTGGATATGTTTGATTTTATAATTACGACGTTATGATAACGTCCCTGACGTCATGAAATGACTGGAAGATGCCTGCATATCTGGGCCTGTATCTTCTTTATTTTCAATGATATTTGCATGAAATTTCGAATTTGTGTTCTTCAAAGTGTCCTGATTTAAGAAAGACAATAAAATTAATTTCGATTTTTTACTCATCTGGACCCTTTTTCCCAGTCGCGGTCACATATATGTATATATTTCAACAAAAATCGTAAAAAAAAAATATAATAAAAATGAAAGAAACTGGAAGGATAAGCTGATTTATATGCTCACATTACGGTCGATAAAAAATTAACAAATTCTTTTTTCACAAATTTTACTTTTGGTTTAATTTATGTACAGATGTATTGCTTTTTTCACATTTCCATACAAAATTGATATAACCTGCAAATTCTATTCTGCTCAACGCGACAACATGGCAAACGCCCAATTTTCACAAATACTGACACAAAATTGGAAGCTTTAAATACATTTGTTGAATAAAGTGGGTCATCTTGCCATTTCTTTCTTTCTGTTTTTTTTTTTTTTTTTTTTTTTTTTTTTTTTTTTTTTTTTTTTTTTTTTTGGGGGGGGGGGGGGTACATGTATAATGAAGACAATGGAAAGAATTTGAGATGCTTCGTTTTACACTTGCAAAAATCTGGTACAAAGATCCACTCTACATAAAAAATAAGTCTATACTTACTTAGAATTTCGACCATGGTCTTAGAAATTGTAAGTTTAAATACACGTGCTAAATATGGAGAACCGTATGCTATTTAAATGGCCATATGTGACTACATAGAGTAGAGGTTATGAAGGAACTCTTTAAACGGAACGTTTACTGAGAAAAGTGTTCGAATCATGTTTTGATTTTTTTAAATTTTGGTTTCAGTATTGTTTTACTTTATAATTCAGTTGCTGTAATTTTTTTCAATAAAAAAAGGATATAATATATACACTGTATGTTTGAAATAATTAACCCATTTACAGTATATTGTCTAAACTGTATATACAAATTATGATAAATATTGGAATACACGCGTGTATTCCATTTATTTTGATCACAAATGCTTCTAAACCAAAGGATCCCAACAATTATTATATACAATGTAAACAGTTAAATTAATTAAATATCTTCACAATACGTGTAAAACTCAATATGTAGATTGCATAGAAGTCCCTATCCATGTTGGACATTATGTGGCAGAAAATGAAAGTCAAGAGTTTAGCTTGTTTACAATCTAGATAGCATTTAGATAGCATTTTGATAACCACTGTAAACATTAAAATGCCTAGGTGAATTCGGAAAATTAGGATATTTCAAATAACTGTACTTGCATCGCTGAAAATTCTGCACAGGCATTTGATTCATCTTATCCCCCCAGATTCTTTATGTATAGAAATTTAAATACAAATTCGTCTTTAAATATCAATGTATATACAAGGGCTTTTCGAAAAGTTCGAAGACGTCTATCTGTCATATCATTATAAATTTGTAGACACATTTCAAGAGAAATAAATTTGAATGATTTAAATATGAAATTTTCAATATATCATGAGAATTTACACAAAATTTGAAACTGCTTTACTGGATGCAATTGATTAATATGTACAGATGTGGATTGTCATAACTCTGCAATACGGCGACAATTTATACGTGTTCATATTTAGAATTGCTGCTTCATTCGATATACAAAAAGTGGATCTAACTACATGAATACCACTAAAACAGTTATTAGTCAACTAAATGCCGAGTGGTAAATACTGTTTTTTAAGAGTGTGTGTGACGCCAGCCAGCTAGACTTGTGTGAAATGTCAAGGTATAGAGCATTTTGGAGAAATTGATTACGTCATGTTTTTGAAGTTGCAATGTTGAAAATGTGCTCCTTGAAAACTAAAACAAGTTAATTTTAAGAATAATCCATTATAATTTTTTTTTGTTTAATTATGAAACAAAATACACTAACAAAGTAAATATTTTCTACATACATGCATGATTACCTGGTATGTGTCGTTTATTGATATTGTCCGATATTTTTCTGAACAGCACTAGCTATTCTTGAAATATTCAAATCTTCCAGCTGCTGTATGGTTTTTTTTATTTTATGTATAGGTATGTATTAAATATATAAAATAAAGTTAAACAATACGAGGAAATGTGTTAAATTATACAACTTAATCGCACTAAAATAAAGGAAAAAAATACAGAAAATAAACGTTTAAAAAGTATGAATAACAAATGTACGCAAAAATATAAGCTGATAATAAAGCCAGATAAATAAACGCAGGAACAACAAATATTTTTTAAAAAAATCAATTTTAAAGTCTTAAAGCCAAAAAATCAAGCAAAATGTTGATACAAGACGGGCTACGGATTAAAAACGCATTGGATGTAATGTCATTCATCTGTATTTCTTTACGCCTTTCCTATAGGATGACAATTTGTATCACCAATCTAGTACTGCTCATTCATATCATTTCACGACTGTGGTCTAGGACAAAATTGTCTTTAATCACTGATCAAATATGTCCATATTTTCCACGCACGGTCTAGAATAATTTTTTATTCAATTACTGATCCAGTCGTGTCCTCTTTTCTTTTCATGCCTGGTCTCAGTTAAATCTGTGTATCTTATCACTGATCTTATACTGCTAATCCATATATTTTCAAGCATGGTTTTGATCTAGTAGTTCTCTAAGGTACACCACCTTTAAATAATGGATTGTTTTGATAGAAATAAGATTTAGAGAAAAGAAGTTGAACTTTTCAAGGAAAGACAATTTACTAGTTATAATAAAGATAAACTTTCAAAGCTTATTGATGTTAAAAACGTTAAGTACAGACCTGGTACAGAACTACATGTAGATAAAATGCTCGCACAGGATATAAGAGGTATGTCGTCTGGGGATGATAAAGTACAATATTGCAATTCTGGGTCTCAAAATTTTAAACGGGCTGAATTTTTTTTTTCAAAACTGAATCAAATTTAATACCAGATGTTTGTACATAAAATATATGGAGATTACAAACAGTTTTCAAGCTCAATGTGCAATAAAGAATATAAAATAGTAGCAGAGCAAACACAGACCTTTAAAACATCAGAGGTGGAATCAGATGCCATAAAGGAATTAGCATCCCTTGCCGACAGGTTGCACCCACTTTTTGCTCCTTATCGTGATTTGGAACTAACGGAAAATCTGTCATTAACTCAGTATGTAAATAATGGCCTAACAATTTAATAAGTATGAGAAACTGATACATTGTATTTGCTGACAAGGTCATTGAATCGACAATTCAACTTAAATATGATGAATTTAAACGAGACTGCTGATATTCTTGTTTCATCAACTTGTTTGTAAATAGTTTACCTCATTAAAGAAATTCTTCCTTTGTAGAGCATGCTCTTGTGTATCGAATTCCTGTATTTCCAGATGGCATTCAGGATTCTAGATCTATTCAGCTGCAAAGAGAGACAAAAATCCCTTGTGAAAAAGAAATACATTAAAATTAAAAATATTTTGGAATAGCGAACATTATTCAAGCAATTCAACTAAGAAGCAAAGCAAACATACACTTGTAGACCTCTAAAAATTCAGAGGAGGGATCAGGAGACATGGAGAAGTTAATATCCCAATCTTCAACCGGTGACGTCCGCCGTTTGCCCCTTATTATGATCGGTAACAATTATCTTCATTTTTTCATCAAGCAAGCATTTATTTAGTAAAAATTAAAAAAAAGAAAACGGGTTTAAAATACCTGATGTATTTCTTACATTCAGTTCTCTGGTATAATAGGGACTGACAACCACGTCTGTTTTTGAGTTTCTTGGTTGCTACGTTTATGCATGGATTTGTTTCTCAAACAGTTGAAGCATCACAAACTTTGATGAGAGTAGTTCAAAAATTAATGTTTGTTTCATGATGTCTGATATTGATATTTGGCTTCTATACTAGAAGAATTGAAAAATGCCACGAAAGAGTGCACATTGAAGCGTACAAGATGAGAATATTCTTCTGCGCTAGGACCTTTCTCAATTTT